GCTTCTAGTCTAGTTTCAAGGGTCTCTAGTTTTCTTGTCTTTTGGCAATAGCCATTCTAGTTTCTCTTTTCAATATACATACTTATTATTCATATTTTGTTACTTTTCTTTGAGTGAAGGCTTACTTGTCTGAACTATTTTTTCATCGAGTTCTTGTCCTTGACATTTGCTCACTTCTCAATACAAAAAAATATCTAAGAAAAATAGTAGTCCATATATTTTTTAATACAAAATAACACTATAAATATTAAAAAAAAAAAAAAAAAAAAAAAAAAAAAAAAACAATAGTATTATTAAACTATCATGAACACACTTAGAACTTCAATTACGAAAGAATAATTAAAGCAATGAAGTGTATAAAAAAGAATGAATGGCTAAGAAGATAATAACTAATAATTATTATTAAGAAAAAGGTCTAAAGGTCATAAGAAGAACTAACTTAAGAAATGAATTAACAAAACCAATGAAGTTTGTAATCTTATTTTTATTTATATCACCAGCAAGTTGTAAGTCTTAGAGTCAAAGCCTTTTATGTCTTGCAATAAAAGTTAATATATAACTTATTGGCAAAATCTCAAGAAGTCCCTCAAAAAACTTCTTAAAAAGATCTATGGTCAAAGTTAAAATAAATGATTAATATTAAGCTATTCTAGAAGTTTCATAGAGCGCCACCTAATATAGTATCAGAGATAAGAACTTTAAAAGTAAAAATAAATAGATGAAGTGTATTTTTTAAAAAACAACATAAAAAAATAATGATGTATGTTTATTCAAGAAGAAAGCAGAATGGCTATTGCTAAAGACAATAAAGCTATAGACTCTTAGAACTAGACTAAAAGTAAGAAAGGAATTGAAAAGAATGAAGCATGGCTTCACTCTTGCCTCTATACATACTATCTAAGTAGGAGCTATGTGGTGATATTCTATAGAACTTCCAATATGTATCCAACTTGAGGAATAAGTATCTAACTTGCAAAGAAAATTTTCCATATCTACCCCACATGACTAACTTGTATCATAAGTATTCAACATAAGCAATACATGGCCAATTTATAGGTCAAGTTATTAATCTATAATCACCTACAAACATATAAAGTTAAATTTTTATCAATGAAGTTTTTAAGAAGCTTATTTACAAGATATTATAGTATTTATTTAATTTTACTTCCTTCTACATAATTCTTCTTATTTAAGTAATTACTCATATCAATTATGTTTATTATCATATTCTATGAAGTTGGCTTGAAAATGCACCTAGAACTTTGTTGTGGAAAATAAAATAGAATTTGCAACAGGAAAGTCATAGTAACTCTAATAGAATCCTAAAAAAAATTTAATTAAATCTTAATAATACTAATCAATTTTTAATCAAATAAAAAAGAAGTCTTAAAGAAATAACAAAAAAAAACATGAAGAAATTATAATTTAATCTTAAAAATATATGTATAGTAAAAATATCTTTAAAAAATATCAAAGAAATCTTTGAAAAAAATTAAAATGAAAACCTTAAATGAATCATAATAAAATCCTAATGAAATCCTAAATAAACCTTAATAAAATACTAAATCAATTCTAACCAAATCCAAACTAAATCATAATCAAATCTTAAATCTTAACCAAATTCTAAATAAGATCTAAACCAAAACTATCCAAATCCTAACCAAATCCTAACAAAACCTTAACCAAATCCTTGTGAAATCTTAACAAAATCCTAAAAAAATCCTAACCAATCTCTAATGTAATCTTAAACTAATCTTAAATAAATCTTAAATAAACTCTAAATCCTAAATCTTAAATTAATCTTAACATGAACTTAAATCAATCCTAATTAAATCCTAAATCCTAAATTCAAACCAAAGCATAATAAAATCCTAAAGAGATCCTAAACAAACTCTAAACAAATCCAAGAAAAATCAAGTAAATTCTAAACAATTCTTGTAGTTGTTTTAAAATTTCAATAAATACTAATCAAATCATTGATCTCAACTCAAATTTCACCTACATTTCAATCTATAAGCAATTAACATGCATATAAAAAATTTTAAAAAATCAAACTCATGATTCAAAAGAAAAAATTCCTAAATCTTTCAAACGTTGGTTGCCTTCCTTTTTCAACATAGATGTTAATTTTTTAGTACTAATTTCTCCTTGCTGAACTATTCAATTGGTTGGTGTATAGATTTCAATATCAAAATTGCTCTTACTAACTTTTGCTTCAATCAAACTAGTAGATTTTTCACGAGTATAAAAATCCTCAATAACCCTAAATTTCAAATATCTGAGATCTTAACCCAATAAAACTCTCATATCCTTCAATCTAATGATTTGATTGATATCAAATTGTATTAACATATTGAAGACGAGCACAATGAAAAACTCTCAAAATCTCACTTGTAAATGTGCAATGACACTTATACAATACCTAAAATTATAAACATCATTTTACTTCTCAAAATCTCAAACCATTGGATACATCTTTCACTTTAAAAAGTCCTCAAAAACTCAATATATCTCCAAATCACATTAAAAAATCTCTCAAAATAACCTTTCATTAGTTTTTTTCTCAAATCCTACTCTTTAAACAACTAAAGAACTATGGAGTCGCTGTAGGTACATGGCTTTGAGCCTTTAGGTTTGATTTCAATCCTAGTTCACAACTGGTCCTCTTTGAGTATCAATTCTTAGTGTTTTGGGATAAATTTTGTTAAATCCTATTCTTAACTTCTTCCTTAAGATGCTTATATGATTTATTTTCTTAATCTATTTTTTTTTGCCTTAATTATGGCCTTACAAAATAAATAGAAGTATCTTTTATAAGAAGACACTTATTAATTTTTACCACCTCCTTAGTTATTATTTATATTTCTAAGATAATTTTTTTAAATATTTTCATTTAAACTCTTCTTTAATATGATTTTTCCTTTCTTATTTCACCTAATGGATGTGTTACAACACCACACTATGACATAGTTTAGTTTCTAAGTTACATACTATACACTTCTACTTAGTTTTTAAAATGTTCTAAAAAGATCTACCATGATATGAAAGATTCTTTAAAAGTTTTAGAATATTCTTTATATGTCTATAATATTATATAAGAATATATTATAATATTTGTAATATTAAATGAAACTAAAGTAATATTTATACTTTAAAAAAATGATGTTAGGAGCTATAACTTTCGAATTCTTTGATTATCTAAAATTTAGATGTTTCTTAGTTTTAATCAATCAAAGGATTTAAAAGTTGTAGATTTTTATCTTAACTTCTAAAATTCAATATTTTCTAAATCTATACTAATCAAAATTTATATGCATCACAATTAGATATAAACAAAATTATATAATTTTTGTATGTCATACTTATTAAAATATTAAAAAATACTTCACACATACATTTAGTTGACATATAATATTTATGAAATTTTAATACTTCAATATCTAATAATTTATATCTAATAAAATATCTAACAATAGTTTTTTGTAAAACTTTTTGACTTGTATCAATTGATTTTTTTAATTAAAAAAAATAGATTACTTTAAATTAATCTATTAAACTTTTTAGTTAAGTATGTTTAAGAAATAAGAATATTTATTAACAAGATTATAATATTAATTGCATTTCCTATAGATTGGATGTTTAATTGATGACAAAGAAGAATTGGTATTAATCAAAGTTAAATTACATAGCATATTAATGAAATGACCAATCTTATCTTTGGCTAAATAAAAAGGAATATAATTAATTAAAGAGATCTATGATTGGATTGATAAAAAAAAAAAAAAAAAAAAAAAAAAAAAAAAACTTATTAAATTTTCTAATATAAATTCTTCTTTTTAAACAAATTCTTAATAACTTTTCTTAGGGATTTAATAATTTCATAAGAATCAAAGGATAAATACATTAAAAGATAGATTGCAAGAAAAAATGCCACATAGAAACTTACACATAACAAGAAAGATTTTATTTTACATACAAAAGAAAGTTATTAAGACTTTTCTATGTCTAAATTTATTTCTGCAATAAGTCGGTTTTAAGAGAGTATTTTTTAATATGAAAAAAATATCAATATCCAAATATATACGATTCTAAAATAAGAATAAAAATGAAAAATGCGTTGTCTTGAAATAGATTAGGTGCATTTGGTCCTTCATTAACTGCAGCCCATATTCTGTTACACAGGAAGGGACATCGAAAGACGACAAAGTGAATGAATCAAGCAGGAATGCATCACAGAACAGAGAAACAACGCCATGAAGTGGCAAAACTGCACTTTCAACAATGGTTCAATTAAGAAAAGTCCCAGCACTTTATCTGTTGTCGATTTCACCGCGCGGGAAAATACATATTACAATACCAACATGGAAACATTCACTGCTCGACAAGGAGAGGGAACTACACCACCCGCGAAACCTACCAACGGATACATAACTTAAATTACATTCAACCCCTCCTTTCAACACAAGCATTTCTCGTCGTAAGGCAAATCAACGCTCTTGATCACGCAAACGCAACCCCAGCAGTCTCAACCGGTTCACCTGTAACAAGCGTTCACAAGACGATACGTGTCTCAGTTACATCTTGAAGATCGAAGCAAACATCATTACGAAGAGGCCGCCAGCACACTTTCAAACTAACAAGACTTTCCCCGCTACATAATGCCTGTAAGATTCGACAAAGCATGCATTCACCAACTACTCCAATGCCACATTACCAATCTCAAATTCTAGTGGGTTTCACTTTACCCACAACGCACAATCGACAACACCAAACCTTAATCCATGTAAATCCTTCTACTGCATTCCCGGCAACCTAAACCAACGGTCTCTTCATTCCCCGCAACACACACCTGCCAGGACAAACATGTCCTCATACATCCATCAAAAAAAACCAAATTGCTCCTCAAGCACACAAACACCAAAACCTGCCGTCCTGCAAACAAATCTCCACATCGCAGCAGCATTCATACCACTGCACATATGCTCCCACACCACCCACACTTGCAAAAAAATTACTGGTTCCATTCATCCAGTCCCACAAAGATATCCACTGCCCATACCAGTGGCTGCGTTTCCCTACTCCTCTACCTTCTTCTCTTCACTCCCTACTCGTCTGAGCCTTCCGCACCGCACCGACGGGCCTCTACACTCCCCCCGCTGCCAGACTCATCCTCCAATGTCCTATCACACACACTCTAACCAGCCCCCTACCCTCACCACCCTCACCCTCACCCCACCATCTACGTCATGATCTTCGATATCACTCCCGCGCCCACCGTCTTGCCTCCCTCCCGGATGGCGAACCTCATCTTCTCCTCGCACGCCACCTCGTTGATCAGCTCGATCGTCAGCTTCACCCTGTCTCCCGGCACCACCATGTTCGCCTCCTCGCCCTGGTCCGTCTGGATGCTCAGAATTCCTCCCGTGCAGTCCGTCGTCCTCATGTAGAACTGCGGCTTGTAGCCCTTGAAGAATGGCGAGTGTCGCCCGCCCTCCTCCTTCTTCAGCACGTACACCGACGCCTCGAACGTCTTGTGCCCCTTGATCGTCCCCGGCTTCGCCAGCACCATCCCCCTCTGGATGTCCACCTTCTGGATACCTCGCAGCAACACCCCCACGTTGTCGCCCGCCATCGCCTCGTCCAGCAGCTTCTGGAACATCTCCAGACCCGTCACCGTCGTGCTCCTCGTCTCCCGCAGCCCCACGATCTCCACCACGTCTCCCAGCTTCACCACGCCCCTCTCCACACGCCCCGTCGCCACCGTTCCACGCCCCGTGATCGAAAACACGTCCTCGATCGCCATCAAAAACGGCAGCTCCGTCATCCTCTGCGGCACCGGGATGTACTGGTCCACGTTGTCCATCAGCTCGAAGATTTTGTCCACCCACTTGTCGTCGCCCCTCTTGATGTTCTTGTTCTCCGGCTTCATCAGCGCCTCCAGCGCCAGCAGCGCCGATCCCGACACGATTGGGATGTCGTTTCCGGGGAACTCGTACGAGGTCAGCAGCTCCCGAATCTCCATCTCCACCAGTTCCAACAGCTCCTCGTCATCCACCTGCGCATTCCCCAGTGCCCCTCCCCGTCAGCGCCCCACTCCCGCCAATTGCCCCAACAATTCTCACACACCCACCGCTCACTCCTGCCTAAACCCTCTCCCCAACCCCCCACCCCCCCTGCAAACCCTTAAACCCTATTCCCTCCCTCGCCCCCACACCTTGCGCCATCCCCCTGCCCCCACCAAAACAAACACACAAACAAACAAAACCCCAGTTCCCATCCCAATTCACCACAATCCCCGCCCCTCTCACCTGGTCTTGCTTGTTCATGAACACCACCATGTTCGGCACGCCCACTTGCTCGCAAGCAGGATGTGCTCCTCGTC